GGGATGCATGATCAGCCTCGACCCATGAGTGGAGAGGATCAAAGCCATTGTATAAAAGTCAAGACTTCTATACAATGCCTTCAGTAAAAGAGAGAAGGTGCACCTAACTTGCAATGATCCTACTGGAACAAAATGCACCATTCCCTGCCAAAGAGAATTATTATCTTGTGTTTAATAATACTGTATAAAATAATGCTATGGTTAAAATGGTTTCCTTTCTCTTAGGTGTAAGAGGAAAGATGGGTCCTGCAGGACAAACTGGAGACAAAGGAGACCAAGGACAGTCTGGCAAAAGAGGGCCTACAGGATTAGTAGGAGGTAAAGGTGACATGGGACCTCTTGGTCCATTAGGACCAAAAGGGGAGAAAGGAGAAAGAGGAAAAACCGGTCCACCGGGAATCTGTAAATGTGGGCAAATCGTACTGAGATCAGCTTTCTCTGTGGGTATTACTACAAGTTACCCAGAGGAAAGAGTGCCAATCATATTTAACAAAGTCCTTTTTAATGAAGGAGGACATTATAATCCTTCAACAGGAAAATTCATCTGTGCCATCCCAGGGATTTATTATTTCTCCTATGACATTACATTGGCAAATAAACACCTTGCCATCGGTCTAGTTCATAATGGAAAGTTCCGGATAAAGACATTTGATGCTAACACAGGAAACCATGATGTGGCATCCGGGTCAACTGTGATTTACCTCCAGCCTGAGGATGAGGTTTGGCTTGAGATCTTCTACACTGACCAAAATGGCCTTTTTTCTGATCCCACATGGGCAGACAGTCTGTTTTCAGGATTTCTCTTATATGTGGATACAGACTACCTTGATGCTCTGTCAGATGAAGATGACCTGTGATGGAGATGACTACATACTTCTAAATGAACAAAAAGCAGTGAACAGAATCTGCCCTTCCCTCTTAATAAAGGCGATGCCTTTGTCTGGAATTTTGTTTTTTGTTGTCAAATGCCCCAAAGTAAAAGATTTATTTTCAAATAATAGAAACTTTAATGATTGTATGCTTCTTTATAAAATCCAAGAAATAAAAAAACAGGTTTAATAGTATTTAAATACAATTAAATATAATATTTTAGACAATAAATATTGAGTCATGACAAGGTTCTTGTCAATGACAGGAGTTAGTTGAGTAGTTGAACAATGATTATTATGAAAACATAGATATCAGTAGTAAAGATTTTATTTTTTTTAAAAAGAGGTAAGTCTGGAGTAATAAGACATGCTATTACAATTACCTTTTGAATGATTTCATCCCAAGCATAATAGAGAAAAATGAATAGATCAATTTCTGTAGATTTTTAAGTCAAACCATTAATTAATCCAACTCTGTATTAGCTATTCTAGAGTTGATGAATATCTCTGGAGACAACCATATTTCTTCTCCCCTCCATGATAACTACATTCTTTGTGGGAAAGAATTTTATTG